ACAGACTACCATTTCTTCAAAAACCTCAACAATTCTTTTAACACATAAATTACTCCGAAATGAGGACACTGTAAACGTAGCATTCCAAAGACTAATGATTTTTTAAAGAATTTCAAACTTCGTGGAAATGCAGTTCAAGTGTCGATAATAACGGAACCATTTTTTTATTTCGGCAATGAAGAAAAAATTGAGAGTGGTCAGAAAAAATAATCTTTTTCGAAGATTCTTTAGTACAACAAAATGTAGGACATCGAAAACCGCACATCTGTGAATTTAACTTCTTTTCCATATTTCGTACGGTTTCGTAAATATTCGCGATAGTATGAAAACTCGCCATTTTTTTTTTTTGGGAGAGAGTTTTCACCCCTAGGATCGTTTCGTTGTCGAAACAAAAAATGGTTTTGTCTCTTAGCGTCGATTGAACTACGTTTCTGCAAAGTTTCAAATTTTTTTCGAATTTTCAGATTATACCGGTCTTCCCTTGGAAGCTGAAATTTTATTAAAACATTGCGAATGAAACAGACTGTAGTAAAACGACAGTAAAAGTAACGAAACGATGTTTAGCTCATCCGATAAGTTTGCGCCGGATGGCGAAAAGTATTTCAATGAAAATTCAAGGAAATCCTGTAGCGACGACCAAAAGACAGAAAAATTTATGAAATGAGAAGACGTTTAAGTTTTTTTTTATCAAATTTAAAGGATCGCTAAAAATATCGATCTAAATTATAAAATTCGGCACGAACTTATAGGATACAATTGTGTGTCGGTAATTATGAAATTGGCCTATAAGAGTCACATATGTTTCATCTCGAGATATTCCGAATTTTCCCTTTGGGTGTGTTAAAAAATATTTTTTATTATTATACTTAGACGCAACACAAAATAAGCGATAAATTCAATTTCTTTTAGATGTTTCACTTACGAGGGAACTTCGGTAACCCGAATATTTCGATTTTTTTAAAACTTCGCAGGTTTGTAGTTTCCCTGTATATCTTTAAAGCTATAGTGGATATAAAAAAATGTTTATAACAAAAATTTAATGGCTTTCTATGCCTTGTAAGACGATGCTTGGTAACTGATAACGCATCGTTCAAAGTGCAATGATGACGAGCATGAAAAAGCACGTGCCGATTAAAATTATTTAAATATTACATTGTTCGATAAGATTACCATATTTAGCATATTTATCCGCAGTTATTTGACATATTTTCCGATATGACAGAAAATTCAAAATTTTTCACAATAACGGTGGAAGATTTTTTCCAACAATTTTTATTAATTTAACAGCATTGTCTTATAAAACATAAAAAGCCGTTAAATTTCTTTATATCTACTATAGCTTCAAAGATATACAGAGAAACAGGGTAACACGTATCTTCGTTCAAGAGCCATTTTCACCCCGAAGAACCGAAAAAGAGCCAAAGAAGAAAAAGATTGCTCGATACTTCTCCCGAGGTCCCCTGCAAACCTGCAAAGTTTCACACAAAAATCGGAATTTCTAGGTTACCGACGGTACCCTTGTTAGACCACTTTCATAATCGCCAGCTGAATGATACGACTGTGAATGATAGTGTTCGAATGATTGTGAGCGGGGTTGTGACTAAAAATATGTGAACGTGAATCGTTATGCTCATACTGGCAGAGACGGAAGTCAAAAACGAGGTGCAAGATTGCCCCGAGAACGACAGCGTGCCCAGCGGGGAATTGTACATCGACGAGAATTTTTTTTTTGGTCTACAGTTCATTGTACGAAGCCAATCAATATTATAACAGGCACGTATTCTTCATGCTTGGACGGCACCATTCATACTTTTCTTTTTTCCCAACTTTTCTTTGCTCCTGAATGAACGATAGCTTTAATATTATGCTCGCCTTTTACTTAACATACCAGCATCTATAGCGCCATCTTTTGTTTATCCATTTCAGAAACTTTTTGTATTAACACTTTACCCGCCGGCATTGCATTTATGCAATGTTTCTGGACTATCGCTAAACCGCCGGCGTTGCATTTTTGCAATCTGTAATATTTATAGTTTTAGTAGGTTTTATGGTTTCTTTACATTATCTGAAACTTTTACCTAAAAATAATGCATAAAAAACAAAGTAGACAAATTCTTAAATTTCGCAAATTAGTGCCGGCGGTTTATGTTCGGCTGCAAATTAAAAAGCCGGCGGGTTAAGTGTTAAAAAGAGCCGAATACAGATAACGTTCCGTGATTTGAATGTTTGAAAAATATTAATTACGAATTTTGTGCATTGGTGTAGAAAATGGTGTTGGCGCTTTAATTAACGTAGCAGAATCTGTAGTGCCATTTTTTATAATCTAGGTACTTCTGTATTTTAACGGCGCCACCGATTTTTCGTTAATTTCACCGTTGTGAATATACATTTCTAAGTTAACATGCGACTTTCTTTTTTATACATTATTTTGCCGTTTATCTTAGTTATTTCGTACGTTCGTTTATTATAAAACGGATATATATCGTTAAAGTAGAAAAATCGGTGGCGCCGTTATGATGCAGACGTACCTTTATTTACCTATTTCAGAAATTTTGATTACTTGTCAGAAAGTGTCGAATACAGATAATACTGGAGCCTTCATGATTTGAATATCTGAAAAATATTAATCACCAGTATCGTACATTTTTTTAACAGAAAATGGTAAAAAATTGACGACGAATTAATACGTTTGAAACTTTTACTTCCTAAGTGTTCGAAAACCAAGGACAACGGTTGATTTTTATTTAGAAACAAAAAAAATCTAACCCTTTGCACTCCAAACATTTCTCCATAAGATTAACAGTGAAACTTCTGAGAATCCAAAGTTTTATTCTGAAAAAGAAAAACAAAAGGATTTTTAACGCTTATAAATTTACTTATTTCTATTTCTTCTATTAATTTGCATTATTTTGATAATATAAAAACACCTGAATTTTACATTTCGTAGTTCTCCCTGTCGCCGTAACAGCGCCACCGGAGTGCAAAGGGTTCATTTTGAAAATTCGTAGACGATATTCCCGCGATTTACGAATACGGAATATTTATCGCGCGGAAAATATCACGTCTGGAAATTTACATCGCGGTTATCATTGATATTGCAATATTGATAAACTTTTGCACTGGCTTCCTCGAGAAATGAATATTTCATGAATTGCGTCACTTTTCTGATAAATAAAACGCCATATGGAGTTACGGACACCTACACCTGTTCGTTCATTTTGGTTCACATTGCACGATATTTGTGCATGCTAATTTCTTCACGCGTGCACGTCTCTCTAGAATTAATGCAATTTACAAAATGATAAAATAAAGGCATCGATCCTTTATCGATATAAACACTAGCTTACTTTCGTTTATTCTATCTAACAGTGAATGTTATTATTTATCTTTCCAACGATGTAATTATTTAAAAACAAACCCTTACTCTGTCTTTTCTTCTTTCTTCAAATAAACAAAATTACAGAGGAAAAATGTTCTAGTTTAATTGCAACGAACGATATAATTTGATATTAACATCGAACTCGAGAATAATACAGATCGATGTTCTTAAATCGTAAACCAGAAGAGAGTTGATAAAATTTGATTTGTTTGGTAACGTACACTACCGGCCAAAAGTTTCGAATGAGCATTGCAATTTACACAAAAATTTGCAGAAAAAAGTCAGCGACTTCGAGAATATTTTATCGTTCGAATCAATTGATACGAGATAAATTGATAAATGTAGAATTGAGAGAAATTTCAAGTCTAGAAAAAATTAGCAGCAGATTTGATATTGATGAAAAGTGGGAGGTGATTCGAAACTTTTGGCCGGTAGTGTGTATCACTGGAAAAAGCATACTTTAACTTTGTTTAACCACCTACACTCTCCTTTTTTCTCTCACGATTCATATGAATTTACGGTTTTGCTAAATGCGCACATTTCACTTGGCAGAATTTCCAGCTCTCGTGAAACTCAAATTACCAATTCTTTGTTTCAAAATATATTCCCAGCTGAAAATTTATCTCCGTTTGAACAAAAATCGTGTATATGAAAAAGTCATTCGTTAATTTACCTCTGTAAAAGGTATTTCTACAGTTAAACAAATTCTGATATTTCTATTGAACGTTGAACATTGGGTTACTAGTTTTCTACAGAAACGATCGTTAAATAGGATCTTCTTACACCTATGCTTTATATCTCTAGCGTACCTAAAATTTCACTACGCCACGTTCCAATTTTCCATCAACTTAGAAATTAACGCCCGATATAGGAAATTCGGTAAGACGAAAATTCGAAAATATTTGAAACTTCCCGGAAATGTAGGGCAAACATTTTTCTCAAAATTTACCCCCACCATTCCTACTTTTGTGAAAAGTAACGTTTTTCGAAAATTCTTTAGCACCGAAATGTGGGACACCAAAAATCACACAACTTTGAATTTAACTATTTTTTTTCTGTATAATGTTTCGTAAATATTCGCGATAATATGAAAAAATCGAGTGATAGAGGTAAATTTTGAGAAAAGCAATGTTTTTCGAAAATTCTTTACCACCAAAATGTAGGGCATCGAAAACTGCACATCTGTGAATTTAATTTTGTGTCCATATTTTGTACGATTTCGTAAATATTCACGATACTACGAAAA